GAAAAATAAAAGTATCACAAATCCTCTACTTAACCATCCTGACGAACACGGAACACGGCCATCTGGGCAGTGTCACCGACATCTGTTGATTCATCCAGTTGAAGTGAAAAATAAACACATTTATCTAAGTCAGTTCTTAACTGTAAAAAAATATCATTGCTCATTACTTCTACACGTCTCATCACTGTATTAGCAGAAAGTTGCATAGATTTTATAGCTGAAACTATCTCGTCTTTATTTCTAAAGTTGGCAAATAACGAATCAGCAGCTTCTAAAAACGCTTGTTTTATCATTTCCCCGTCTTCATAAAGTTTCTTTTTTTGTGTAATTATCTGAGACACACGGTACGATGCTTCAGTTGCAGCCTTATTTTTGTCGACTGTTCTTAAAAATATTAACTGCTTTTTTAACTGTTTCAGTTTCTCCTTTCTGGCGGCAGAATGTAGTGGGAATGATTTTTCAAAATTATAATGTACAGTTTTATGATGTCTCTTAATATTTCCTTTTTTAGCAACGGAGACCGAAGCATTACATAACAAACACACATTTTTATCTTTAACTTCTGTAAAAAAGTATTGCTCTTCCCATTCTGAATGAAAGTGGTATGTCTTTACCTTCTTACAACTGCTTGCCATAATATTATTTTTTGTTGTTCTCTACTAACCCAACCGCTGGACGTTGGTTACGCGTTCAGTTTTAAACTAAGCGCAATGACGCCGCGCCGTGCGTATTTATCCCGTTCAAAGCAATCCTGATCGTTCTCGAACAATAACGCGCTGGTTCGGCTGGTCGGGTCTAGCTTGATGGCGTCAGCGGCAGATTGCTCACCGCAACGTTGCCGCTGTTTATGTTTAATATTATGACAATTAGATTTTTTTGTGGAATTTTCGGAAGCTTCTCTGATTTTTGCAGTTTGTATTTTTTAAATTAAAATCGTTGTGAGAGCTACCAGAATTGCCTCCGCGAGCTACCGGTAGCTCGCGATCGACAGGTTGGCGACCACTGATCTAGACAAAAAACATGTCTAAATGAATATATTAAATAAAATATGACACGTGAAATTTTAAATTTTAAATTTATGGAACCGTAGTTTCACCTGATACTGTACTCAAAAGATTAAGCGAACAAAATTTATCGTCTTATGTACCTGCCACAGGCCCTTTACTGGATGCAGCTCATCGAAGACAACGCTTAGAATTCTCTCGTGCTCATGCAGATTGGGATATGGAAGATTGGCGAAACGTTCTTTTTACAGATGAGTTTCGTTTTACGAGATACTCACCTGATGCTCAACAAAGAGTATGGAGGAGGCCTGGAGGACGCTATGCCCAATGGTGTTTCTCTCCTAGAGTACAGTTTGGTGGTGGAGGTGCAATGGTATGGAGCGGCATTTCTTTGGAAGCAAATACAATCTTTTTATGTTAGGGGGAGCTGGCCTTAATGCTGATAGGTACATTAGGGAATGTCTGAAAGAACATGTGGTACCTTATATGCATTTTGTAAGTGAAAATTTTCTTCTAATGCAAGGTAATACTCGGCCGCACATAGCCACATGGGACTACTTGGGAAGAAGACAGACAAAATTATGGCGAGTTTGAAACTGTGGTAGCGTTAGAACAGGCGCTGGTAAATGAGTAGGAACAAATACCGCAAAACGAGATTGCTGCTTTGGTCCAGTCTATGCCAGAAAGGATGAGAGCTGTTATTCGAGCTCGAGGAGGGAATACTCGATTTTGATATCCAAATCTTAAAATTATTTATGATTTCAATCAGAAAAATACCCGTTAATGGTTTATTCCGGAATACAAAATTTTATAAATTTTTATCTGTTGTTAAATTAATCAATATTTTGGAACTTGTTTTTTATTTTTGGGTTTGTTATTGAATATACACTAAAAATTTTTTATTGGTATTCAAGTTTTTCTAATACTCTTTAATTTTATTTAAAATACACTTAGTGTCCGGTTAATTTTGCGGTGCAGAGTATACTATAAATTGTTTTCATTCACAAATATTAATTTCCTAAAAATCTAACTTTTTCAAAATTCAATTTAGTTTTTTCTTAACAAAATTGAGAAAATGGGTAAAAAAAGTCGAGTTTTATACAGTGTGTCTACTTAAGTTGGAACCATATGGAAAAAAAATTTATTATTGATTTTAGGAAAAAAAGTTATTCTTGATAAAAAGTCCTGCATGACCCAAAACTTAAAATACAGTCATCAGATATCAAATTTTTCAAGCCGTATACGAGGTTTGTCAAAAAATATGAATTTTGCTCAAGAGTAAAGTACGTTTATGTTCGACAAAATCGAAAATTTTCATTAAGAAAATTGCTAAATTCTTCACAAACTTTAAGAAAAGGAAAGCGTATCATGTTTATAGTAGAGAAAGAGAAAAAATTATGGATTACCGTAATTAGGTGGATCAATGCAAAATCTAGAAAAACTCTGATTTTTCAGATAGATCGGTGTAATTGCATATTTGAATGTAATTTTCAATTCTAATCAACTTTTCTTAATGAAAATTTTCGATTTTGTCAAAAATAAACGTACTTTACTCTTGAGCAAAATTCATATTTTTTGATAAACCTCGTATACGGCTTGAAAAATTTGATATCTGATGACTGTATTTTAAGTTTTGCGTCATGCAGGACTTTTTATCAAGAATAACTTTTTCCTAAAATCAATAATATTTTTTTTTCCATATGGTTCCAACTTAAGTAGACACACTGTATATTTTTTTAGAAAAAACAGTTTCAAATTTTGAAAAAGTGTTCCCAGAGGAGCATAGATTTAACGTTTACGAAGATGGGATGAAAAGTTTCCGGCCTAACATAGAACGCAACACAATTGTGACTGAATAAGAATTTATTTTTCTACATAGTCCCCTTGTAGGGACCCAACGATGTTCAAGCGATTTAATACCGTCACTGTAGTCTGATTTATCCAATTCGTCAAAATAGGCGTTTGTAGCTGCAATTACTTCTAAATCCGTGGAAAATTTTTTGCCAGCAAGAAATTTTTTTAGGTTTGGAAACAAATAAAAGTCTGACGGGGCTAGGTTTTGCGAATACGGAGGATGGTTTAACAGTTCAAAGCCTAGTTAATGAATTTTAGCCATTACAAGAACGGACTTGTGGCAAGGTGCATTGTCCTGATGAAACAGAATTTTCTTTTTTGCCAAACCAGGGCGTTTTTCGCTTATATTCTGCTTAAGCTGGTCCAGTAAGTCGCTGTAGTACTCGGAATTTATTGTTCTTCCCTTTTCGAGATAATCTATTAGGAGTATCCCTTTAGCATCCCAAAAGACCGTTTCCATGACCTTTTCAGTAGACGGTACTGCCTTTGCCTTCTTTGGAACCGGTTCGTCCTTTGCCGTCCACTGTTTGGACTGTTGTTTAGTTTCAGGGATATAATGATAAACCCATGTTTCATCAACCGTAATAAATCTACGCAAAAAGTCCCTTGGATCACGTCTAAACAGTGCCAAATTCCCCTCTGAAATGGTTAGCCGCGTGAGCTTCTGATCTGACGTGAGCAAACGCGGCACCCATCGGGCGGATAGCTTTCTCATACCTAAAACTTCACACAAAATATAGTGAACTCGCTCTTTTGATATACCCACAGCCTTCAGCTACCTCTTCCAATTTTAATCTGCGATCTTTTAGAATTAGTTTGTGAACGGTTTGCACCATTTCTTCAGAAGTTGCCGTTTTTGGCCTGCCAGAACGCGGAGCATCATCAGTGCTAGTTCGACCACGTTTAAAATCCGCTACTCAGGCTTTAACTGTGGTAAATGAAGGAGCAGATTCTCCTAGTGTAGCATCTAGTTCAGCTTTTATTTCCGTCGGCGATAATCCTTTGAGATGGAAATATTTTATCACCGATCTTATCTCTTTTTTTTTTAATCTTTTAAAAGTGGCGCACTTTATAAGCTTTTAAAATACCCAGGACAAAAACTACTTAACGCACTCACTTTAAACTTTAAGCGTATACTGACGACAAGCAAGGCTACACAGACACGTTGGAACAGGAAAGTAAATCGGGCCTACTATAGGTTAGGCCGGAAACTTTTCATCCCATCCTCGTACTTACCGCACATATTTTTTTTCTTCAGAATGTCAAAAATAAACTTTAAAAGTGGGTTACTACCAGAGATAACAGAGATATAGTCATTCTCTTGATAAAATATATTACTCACGATGCCAAGATTAATTCGACTATCAATACACTGTATTTTTCCGGACGGGGCGAGGAGAAGTAGAGGGGATAAAGAGAAGAATTTTACGCAGATACAACTTTTTTTATCAATAAATAAATGTGTAAGCCGCTGTAGACAACGTAAATTTCCATGCCGGTGTAAGTCCTGTTGCCACTTCCAACCTAACTTGACTAGGTTTTGGAATTTATTGAAAATTATTACATCTAATTTTGTTAAATTTGATATGACTAATGATTGAAAATTTTTTGGGTTCAGTTGCAATAAAATAGGTTGAATAATTTTAGCTTTTTTAATATATGTAAATAATTTTGTAAACAAAACGAGAATGATGAAATAGGCATATGACAACAGCGGATATTATACCCTCCTGTATTCCTTAAAATATGTCTTAATCAGGACCGCACGATATTTGTTATTAGTTACATCTCCTGTTATCTCTGGGTACTATGAAACTCTTGCATGCTCTGCTCTAAAGCCAAGTTAATACTCCTTATAATACTTGTAATATAATTTGTAATTGGGCAACGTTGTTGCTTCCAAGACAGAATTTTTCAATATAACCTACAAAATCGAAATTTTTAATTACACTTTTCTTGAAAAGTAATGGTTTTTCCGCAATTTTTTTTAATTTACTATCGAAACTAGTAACTTTTTAATGTTTAAACAATTTTGCGAAGTACATCTGGTTTCTACACCGAACCCCCTTACATTTATAGTGTTTTGCAGCGAATAAATGCGCTTATTAATTAGTATAATATTAATCAATCGTTTTTTGACAGGCAACTACAGCATACATTACAAGACAATTCGACACAAGATTTAACAGAACTTGAAAAATCCCAAGTTTCTTCACAAACGGAACAAACACCGGATGATAACCAGGATGTATGTATCGAAAGGGTTGAAAGTAATTCAAGTAATAATGAACTTCTTGCATCCAGAACTTGCATATTTTGCAAAAAGAAGTACAAAAGATTAAAAGGACGCCCATATAAACTTAGCTACAGTGCAGACGCTAAACTGTTTGAAAATATAAAGGAATTTGCTACAAAAGTGAATGATTACAATGTACTGAATGAAATCAATACCTACGCGTGCAGTAACAATTCGATTCCATACCATAACATTTGTAGAATTAATTATCATGGAAAAGAAATTGCTGGGAACCGCCAAAAAACAGATTGGCATGATCTTCGTGATCACTATGAATCAGCTTTTAAACAGTTATGTTTATTCGTCAAAGATTATATCATAGACAAAGGAAATTGCTGCTTCGTCGAATTCATTGAAGATTTATATTTAGAATTTCTGTCCCAATCCTATGGCGATCCTAGCATTAATAAATCAATGTTTTCCAGTCGACATATTCCACAACGACTAGTAAACAAATATAAGAAACATATTAGATTCGAAGGTAAAAAAATTATCCAACCTTGCAAAATGAGTGTTGTACCCAGTCCGACCGAGATAAAAGACCGCGATCTTCTTCAGCGTGCAGCTTTACTGCTGAGACAATACATTCGTAACATAGAGTATTCTAAATTAGATAATAACATGTCAACAGAAGATCTGTTATTAGGAGAATGCAAATTCCCAGAGCACCTTACTTCGTTCTTCACAACATTACTTGCAGCGTTTGATTATAGACGAAGAAAAAGTGCAAAAACCACTAGATTAGTTCAATCTTTCTCATCAGATGTTGTGTTTGCTGTGACTAACGGTGAAATAAAACCGTCAAAGCAAATAACACTTGGAATTGCATTGAAAAGTTTGTGCAACAGCAAGAAAATTATTAAAATCGTCCATAGATATGGGCACATTTGTAGCTACGATACGCTTCAAGATATCGAAACAGAAGCTACGTATACAATTGCAAATAAGGATACGTGCTGCCCCAGTGAAGTTCATCAGAAGAAAGGCCTTCATACAGTCTGCGTATTCGACAATTCGGTCGGTATAGTGATTCAAGATACGGAATCTAAAGAACCTGTGAAAGAACAACATACCACAACTAACGATACTGACGAAACCATGACTGATTCAACAGATTTGGAAAATGCATTGAGAAATACCGAAACTACAGAAACAGTTAACAAAAAAAGGAGCTATAAAGGGCAAGTTCAAGATATGCCAAGATATTCCAAAAAAATTAAGATGATGGATACCGTTCTTCCAAATGATTCAGTGTTGCGCAGTGTCGTTCCAGCTGATCTAAACAAATTTATTAACTTAGATTTACTATGGGTAATGTCTCATTTTTATGGAGTAGAAACGCCTATGTGGGTAGGTTTCAATTCAAAAGTTGTTCATGACAAAAGCGTCACTCAAAAAGTTTCCTATATTACTCCTATAAATGAGTTACCCACAGATTCATCTGTTGTATTGGAAACCATTCGACGAGCACAAAGCATTGCAAAGGAATGTGACGAGTTGTACGCGCAGGTATCGTACGATTTAGGTATCGGAAAAATTGCCTTCCCTTTGAAAAGCACCGAAAAAAATGTGTTTATTCATTTTGGTACTTTCCATAATCAAATGGCATTTTTCAAGGGTGTTGGATCGTTTATAGATGGCTGCGGTTTAACAAATGTGTTAGTTGAAGCAGGTTTAATCGGCACAGGGTATGTTGCTACATTTTTGAGCGGTAAGCATTTCAACAGATGCAAACGACTTCATATTCTGTGTATGCTATGTTTGCAAATGCAAGAATTTAAATATTTCTTGGAAAAGAAGAACATTAAAGTAGATGAAAGCGTACAGGAATACTTGCAAACTTTACAAAAAAAGCCCTTACACAATTTATTGATAAACAACGAGATCATAGATGAAATCCTGCTCGAATTCAAAGGATTTAAAGAAGAAGTGTTAACAGGAATACACGGAAAAACGCAACAATTTTACGGCATGTACATACAGTTCATTGAATACTATTTATTACTAGAACGGAGCGTGCGCATGAGCGACTTGGATTGCTTTGCTACGTTTTTACCGAAAATAACCAACATTTTCTTCACCTTCAACCAAACGAACTACGCTCGTTGGCTAGTTTGGTACCATAGTGCCTTACTGAACATCGATGCAACGCATCCAGGATTAAAAAATGATTTAGTCATTGGCGTGAAAAGGACGGAAAAACTATTTTCTAGGATACCATTGGATCTGACTATCAACACTGATGCAACTCGTCGTCTAACCGACATAATGGATCTAACTGATTCGATTTCGACTCGTAAAAATTTGAACATTACTCATGGAATTAGAAGCGCCATCATCTCACACGTATTATTTGATTGCGGTCTTGAGAAGAGGCAAGATGTAACAAATGATCTCCTTCGGAATCGAATTAAAAAAAGTTTAATCCAAAGAGAAGCATTCATTACTGCTTTAAACGCTCATATGAATCCGTTTTCGGATCGAGTGAGGCCAGAAATGTTATGTAACATTTCAACGGGACAAGCTGCACCAGTGGAAGTCGCAAATTTTCTATTAAATGCTGAACATCTTGGGCAGAAGCAACGAATGGAAATGATAGAAAAATGTTCAGAAGACGAAGAAAGTTTTAAAAATTACGTGATAAAGAGAAACAGAATGTTAAATTTTGCCACCTGCATAAAGCCAAAAAAAATTGAAATCGGTGGAAAAATCCAAGAAGTGAAATTACAACGGGATCTGTTTGGGCGACTTCTTGGAATTTGTTTGGATGCGAAAGTAGACATGACCAAGGTATAGTATAAATAGCTTGAAATTTAATTACTTAATTAGACACGTAGATTAAAATATAAAAAAATATGTTGGATTTTCCTGTCTAGTTATTACTTTCCGGTTATTTTGTACAATCTATTGTAAATATTTAGAGAATGAACTAAATGCATACATTTTCCACACATATTTTTATTTACAGTGGGGTCCAATGAAATGTTCCTTCTTTGGTTCTTTCAGATTTAAAGAAGAAATGCTCGGACACGTCAATTTTTGTTTGGAAGGGATACATTTTTTCCTAATTGCACCATTGACACTTCAACCCTCGAGCAGTGCGAATTTAGATAGGGAAAGTACTAAGTGTGGAACATTTTTGAAAAGGTAATTTTATAAGAAATTCAGTAATACCAATATTGTTTTGTCAAATTTCAATTTTAGCGCCCTCTTGAGGGCGAAAATTAGGCACCTGCCTTTCCTGAAATTTAATGCACAAATGCTCAGACACGTCGATTTTTGTTTATATGGGCACATTTGACGCATATTTATTAACCCGCATCTTTAACCCCTTGGTGGGGATAATCAAACCCTTAAAATTTTAAAGTTGGGAAAGTGGGGAGAAGAGCTAAATATTTTGAAGGGCAAACAATTTATTTTCTTTTGATACACTATTTATTGGATTCTACTTGAACAGTTAATTCGAAAACGGCTTTAGAAACCTCAACCCTGCAGTTTTAGTATTATACATATTGAAAAATTCACTTATTAAGATTTAAAACAACTACAATAAGTATTAACTAAATTACTTATTTTAATAAAAATTTACGACTGAAATTCCAATAAAAAAAATCTGATTTGTCCAACATGTCAAACACGTGACTTTCCTATCTAGTTATTACTGGCTTTTTCTGGTTATTTTGTACAACCTATTTTAGCACCTCTATAAATGTTTAGAGGTTAACTAAATATATACATTGTCCACATACATCTAACTCGAAATATTTTTCTATATATTCATTGCCAACGAAAATACTGAAAAATTAAAATTTTATACTTTTCCTCCAATTTTTCCATTACGGTCCATTTTAGAGAAATATAAAAAAAAACAAAAATTATAGAGATGAATATCGCAAACATCTTTTAATTTAACAATTTTCTTAAAAATCAGAATTTTTTAATTTTGTAAAATTTTGTAAAGAGCAAAAATTATAGAGAATAATATAAGAAGCAAGTTTTACTGGAAGAATTTTCTTCTCCAAACGTAAATAACATATATATTTCATAAAATATAAAAATGATCCTCTATAAAGTACCTTACCAGATGTTCCGATCTTGATTACAACAATTTATAAAAACAGTTTACTGAAAAATGAGGGACAAGGGAAAAAAATGTTTAATAAAGCAAAGGTTTCAATTGTATATCTAATAAATAATATTTGCATAGTAACTTTAATGTTAATTTATTAATAATTCGCAAAAAATATTACCCAGCAGTCTTTAAAATGCAATATTCTTCTTCTTCACTATCTTTCGACCTCTGACTGTAGCAGTTATCGGACAATATTTCGTATTCCTTTTTTTAAAAAGCATATTGTTATGTGAGCCATTTCATTATTCAGTCATGCTCTAACCCTCCAAGTCCCTCTCTGTCTTATTTGGCCTTTGAGGCTCAACCTGTCCGATTATTATTCATAATTAAACCCCTTAAGACCAAACCTATGTGACAACTATGGCGGAGGTACTTTCGCGAACATTCCTGAATTATCGTGATAATATTTCTGGTCTCTTCCAAATATTTTTAGTTTGGTGGAGGAGCTTCGAGAGCCCACCAAACTTTAGAAATTTGTATATAAATATTGGTGGAAGAACACAGGGCAGTTAGTTATATGGACAGTGAAGATAAATTGCGAACAGTTTAAAGACATTCGAAATATATATAAATTAGAATAGTAGTGTTATAAAATAAATAAGTGTTTAAATAAATTATTAATAAATAAACTGTTGTTTGAAAATAAACAAACATCACAATATTATTATATTAGATCCAAATTTGTCGGAATATACAATATTATCCTCATAATGGTTCATTAGTCTCATTTTTATTGTTTTATCATCAGGAATATGATCAGTTGTTAAAATACTTTTTAATTCTCTCTGTAAAAACTGGCAGTCATCGTTTTCTTCAATGCATCTAAAAATGTGCTCCATTGTTGCGTCTGTTTGAATTGTTACTGGTTGAAATTTTTTTCTCCCTCTGGGTCTGTATGGTAGTTCTTAAATGTATGTAACAATCCGCGTGATATTTAGCTCCTTGAGCCACTAAATCTAACACGCCTATAATTATTTCATGAATCTTGCCACAATATTCATTTTTTTCTCAACTTATTAAATTTAAAATTGTTTTCTTGTAAATCATAGCTGATTTGTTATCTTTACGATTTGGACTTTCTTCTTTCCTTCATTTCATCTGCTTCTTCTTCACCTACTTTTCCAATGAAAGTCAATTGAATCAGCCGTTCGAAGTTTTTTCTTTGGTGGAGAGCATACTGATGTGGTTTTTTCTTTTTCGAACTAAGCATAAATGCATCCTGTATTGATATATTTTTGTCTGCATACCGAATGCACGTAGACAAATTCGCGAGTATTTAAATACTGAGACAGTCGCTCTTTCTACAGAAGCAGATTTTAGAGTTAATATTCCTCTTGTTACTTTTACAATGTCTCCTAGTTCGGAGCTTAATTGAGAACTAGATCCGAGTTTTTCACAAATGAGGCAATCATTACTTATATTTTCATCACTATTCGATGGTCCACTCATTTTGATACGAGACTTTAACAATATTAATTATATTAATAACTAACGTTTATAACATGATTAATAATTAATATTATTGAATTTTCTATAAAATTCTAATTTTTAGCATCAATTTATTATGAAACATACGATTTAGTATTTACAATTGTGCAATATAGATAAAAAACAAATACTATCTATTTTAAAAGTTTGAAAAACACATTAGTTTTGTAATGATGTAAATGTTCAATAATTAACTTTTGTCGCACTAACTGCACAATAATAAATATACATAAATAGCAAATAAATAAAAATTAGAAATATTTTTTTTTCAAAACGCACAAAAATAACTACGTATTTAGCCTAGCTAGTTGCCACGTGTACTAATCTGTTAGCAGTGTTGCCAGGTCAGAAACAACATAAGCGGTAGACTTGTCATAAAAAAAGCGGTAGATTTAAAAATAAAACGGTAGATATATTTAATGTTCGAATATTGATGTTTTTGCGAATAACTAAGTAGTTTACTAGTTAGGAAATTAGGTATGTAATTAGGTAGAAGTGAAGAAGAAGAAAAAATAATTTATAATTATAAAAAATAAACAAAAAATATGCTTAGGTTTTATTATTGTAATAACTAATTTATCTAAAACAAAAATGCTTATATTCTGTTGTACCTATGTTTTACCTGATAAATAAAATATGGTACATAACAAACATTGCAATGAATAAAAATAATCATCTGACCAAAAACCCAAATTTTCTAAACTCATTCCTAAAATTATCAGGTATTTTGTACATATTATTATATAACAACTGTTGATCAATTTGCAAATTAAAACATTCGCTGCTACCTATATAATTTTGAATGCATTGTACACAATACTATTAGTTGTTAATAAATTTCAATGTTTCATTTTGAATAAATTTGTAAAATTTTTATTTCTGTTGAGGAATGAGGCAAATAACGAAGTAAAATGAGATTTAATAATATAAATAAATCCAACAACCAGAAATCAGAAATATTGTAAATAATTTGAAAGATGTGCCGCATGCGTGTCAAGTCAAGTCTTGGTTACAATAGTCACCTTTTCACCGATGTTTCCTAGGAGATTGACTGACCAAACCCAAAATGTCGAAACGTAATCCGCAGAAAATAGAATGGGGTTTCTGTAAGAGAGATGTTGCCCCTTGCAAGCAATAAATTGTATAAATAATAATTGTGTTATAACAAATAGGTTTTATTTACAATTTTACAATTTAGTTTGAAAGTATGAATAAATGTTTTAGCGGTAAATATTGATAGCTTTGCGGTAGAGCGATAGTCCACACCATGAAACAGGTAGATCTTCCGCAAAAACGGTAGACCTGGCAACACTACCTTTTAGGGACCGCGTCAACAGCTGGTGTTATCCCTTCTATAATTCCCCCACCCCTCACCTTTATACCTACAAGTTTGTAATAGTTCTACTTTTTAAAAAAAAACTTTAATAAAAATAAAAGAAAACTTTGAAAAATTAATATTCATTTATTTAAATAATTAAAAACTTAAGATCAGAAAGATGGTGTTTCTGGTATTTTAAAAATGTTTAAACTGTTTGTAATCGTCCTCATGTGTTCTTTTAAATTTTGACTGCATCCGAAGATGGAAATTACTCCAAAACATATGTACTGTTGTGCTAAACGATATAAAATAAAAACATGACCGAATAAACTAAGGAAATTTTTATTTATATAGTTTTTAAAAATGTGTTACTCTTGGTACTTATAGAAATTTTAGGGGTTGTTTACCCCATACTCGAGGGCCGAAGCGTCGATGCTGAAATTAGGAAAAAATGTGTCCTGATCCAAACAAAAATCGACGTTTCCAAGCATTTCTGCTTCTAGGTGCGTAATTTTCACCATCAAGAGGGTGTTAATATCGGAATTTGACGCAACAATATTGGCATTACTGAATTTCTTATAAAATTATCTTTTCAAAAATGTGCCACATTTAGTACTTTCCCTTTCTAAATTCTACTGCTCGAGGGTTGAAGTGTCAGGAGAAAAAAATGTGTCCCCCTCCAAACAAAAATCGACGTGTCCGAGCATTTCTTCTTTAAATATGACGGAATCAAGAAGAGGGAGGTGAATACTTTTCATTGGACCACACTGTATATTCATTGCCAACAAAAATACTGAAAAATTAAAATTTAACACTTTTCCTCAAATTTTTCCATTGTTCGTTTTACAGAAATCATGTATAATACAAAAATAATAGAGAATTATATGGCTGGCAATTTTTATTTGAATTACTTTCTTATAAATTCGAATTTTGCACTTTTTGTCGAATGTACATGGTATTACCTCGTTGCTCAATTTCGGCCTTCCCTTTTTACTTTTATATCTGTATACAGATATAAGGAAAGTATAGGAATCATGATTTTTTTCGACCTCGAGTTTTCGACGGATTTTTACGTTTTGCGGTCCCCTGAATCCGTTTTGACTATTTTCGTGATGATGTGTGTATGTGTAATGTGTGTGTGTCCGTGTGTGCGTGTGTGTGTGTGTGTGTGTGTGTGTGTGTGTGTGTGTGTGTGTGTGTGTGTGTGTGTGTGTGTGTGTGTGTGTGTCTGTGTGTTAACAGTACCATCAGTAAAAATAGTCATAAAATTTGGAATAATTTTCTAAAAAGTGTAGGTCGCAAACAGCATCACCTCTAGAAAGTGCTTTATCAGCCATAACAATGATATGCTACCACTGTTCTAAACGTTTAGGATCCTATAAAAAACATTTACAAGGACAAAATTGGGGTTTAATAAAAATAACAGTAGTAATTCTTCATCTATCACCCTGAAAGACAAACTTAATGGGTATTATTGTTGTTTGTAAGTCAGGATTTATGATTGTAAAATTTTATATTACATATATAAATTTGTAATAAAATGAACTACACTCCGTAAGATACGGGTTGTGACTAGTTTCCAAAAAAATATATTTAGAAATAAAAACATTATTTTACTTACACTAGGAGCTTTCAAAAAACTTTGAATTGATTTCTCCTTCTGTTTTCTTTAGTTTTACATCTGATTTATATCCCGTTTTACAACTTAGAACGACATAAATCTTTTGTTTTTGGTCACTCATGTTACTTGTACGCGCGTACATTTTTCACATTTTCATTCTTTTCACTAATACATACAAAATAAATGTCACACTAACGTCAATTTGGCCAACTTTATAAAAAGAAAGACGGAAATTTGACCATTGCCGATTCGCCTCCTCTCATGTCTATGATTTTTCATCCATTTGTCATATCGCAAAATAGTGTTTATATCGCCTCTACTTCATTCTATCTCGATGTATACTTTCCTTATCTGTATACAGACAGGAAAGTAAAAATGCTTACATATTATTATTATTATTTTGAATTCCTTACCGTCTATTGAGTCTATCAAGTCTACCCGTTTCTACTGATAATTATAAAATTTACTGCGATCTATTTAAATATTAAATATATAAATATTTAAAATCAGATTTCCGATTTTTCAGATACTACAATATCCTTTGACACCTGTTCCACTTTCCCTTTGCCATCTTGATGGAACAATCATTAAAACAGTTAAATCAACTTTAACAGTTGCTCTAGAAAGACAAGTCGAACATGGTGTACCAGAAAACGTTGACGTGTATCTTGTAGATGGATTTTTTCTATTACACAACATGAAACAGATTCCCATGACATATAGACAAATTTCGATGAAAATTTTACGTCACATTATTAACGCTTGTCCTACGGCAAAGGCCATTTACCTTGTGTTTGATACATACAAGAATCCATCGTTAAAGGAGGCTGAATATGGTTTCAGGAATACCTTCTCTAGAGATTATTGTATCACAGGTAAGAAAATGGGAATGGCTATCCTTTTTTCTCTGTAATATCTTACAATCTCTAAAAATTTCAATAGCAAACAGAATTATTAAATGTAAAAAGTAAATTGAAATTTTTGGTTATTAAAAATCTATTTCAATCAACCAATACTAGTGATTTCATGAAACTTGTAACGGTATATTTTTCAAAATTATTCATATTTTTTTATTGTTAACATAGAGGGGTAATCCACTGAGGATGTAGGTATACAAAGAAGATGATTTACGAGGATTTCTCGAGGATGTATGATGTGCGAGGATGTATAAGAATTTACGAGGATCTATAAGGATTTCTCGAGAATGTATGATGATTTCTTGAGGATGTACCAGGATACAAAAATGTTTATCATGAATTTATTTGCCCTTAATTATCAAAAATTTTAAATTGCACTAAATAGGAAATATTTAATAATTTATAATATGTAATAGGAAAAACAAGAAAATAATGTGGAAATAGTTTGAACAGACAATACTAAAATTAAAATAGCAACTCAGATTAGGTGCACACATTCGTTGGTAAATTTACCGGAAGTACTTACATTGACATTGTCATTGACAGACATGTAGTCATCTTTATAAAGCAAAAGTATCTAATTCGGACAGTGTTACCAACTATAATAGATACGAGTATTTTAACACTATCCCTCAAACCTGACTGAATTTGTTTCAAAAACAAAATACAATCCGTCCCTTAAGCTTAACATATCCAACACTAAGTTTAACATTTTAACAAATCTAAATTTTTCAAGACACAAACTCTTAGTAAAACATTTTTAACCTCAAGATCAACAATAAAGTGAAATGTAACTTCTATGTATTCACATCTTTTATTATTCTCAAAATTTTGAAATAATTTAATTGTACTAACACACAAATTAATTTTTGCATGAAAAAAAGATGTGATTTAAATCAGCAGTAGAATTATTGTCGCAAGAACAAACGTCAGTATTTAAGATACCTATTCTATGTAGGTGAGCTGGAAATTTTCCGTGATTTAACTTAAGGCGTGTGATAGTTACAGAATAAGTTCTATTTACATTAAATTCGCTAATGTGCGAGATTTTTTTAGGTAAGGTGGGATGTATATAAGTATAATGATTATTGGACCTATCTACGAATTTTTCCCAGTCTAATTCCCACATTTTCCAACATTTATCGAATCCATACAGTATGGTTCAAATGAAAGGAATAAATTCATTATAATGGAAGTAGCTGGTTTTTCGAAAAAATGCTCGGACAGGTCAATTTTGTTTACTTATAGCGCAATTTTTTAAATAAAATTCAATTTTCCCCCACTTCCCATTTTTGGGCAGTGACGTCATTGACAATTTTTTTAAATAGCAACCTCAATTTTTTTTTCTTGATTTTGATAGATCTTGCAATTTCCTACTTGGAAACATAATATTTGAAATATCTGACATAACAATTTTTTTTGAAAAAAAGTCATTTCAAGATCAGATACATACATTTTATGTTATTTTGAAACACAATAAATTAATAAAAGATAATTATTTGTAATTAAATGCTTAATCTAACAAAATAATAATAAAAAATAATAATAATAATAATAAAAATAATTTGTGAAATTGTCATTAAATTCATAACCTGTACCCTCACTAGTTTTTGAACCATCGGTGTAGATCTTTAAGAAATTATTATACCTAGCAAAAATTGAATTAAGTACAGCTCGGTTAGAATGTTCAATATCAGTGTACCTATTTTGGCAAAATAACAGTTGGCTTAAACAATATTATCGAAAAATCAATTTTAAAAATAGGAAGCTTTTTGGATTCTGTTGTGGATTTAATGCAATCTGGTAAATTAGAATATGCCTCAACAAGAGGAGGATAGTTTTTTTTAGACCAATATTTATTTGTTAAATTTTCAATATACAACTGAAAAATATTCATGTTCAAAGGATTGACACATTGAAAATATTTCCAACGTACTACTCTTTTATAGGACAAGAAATATCTTCTAAATTCAAGGGGAGGCTCCTGAGCCTCTACTAAAATGGCATTTATTGGAGATGATTTAAGTGCCCCTAAACAATTTCTTATGGAACTGTATTGTATTCTATCAACTTTTTTTAAATGTGTATTTGCTGCTGATCCGTACAGAACAGCTCCATAATCAATGATAGATCTTATGTATGCCCGATAAAAGTGCAGGGAGGTATTAGGATCCGCTCCCCACTTAGTTTTAGTGACACATTTTAACAGGTTTATACCTTTCTCACATTTATTAATAGTGTGTGTAATATGGTCGTTCCAGAGAAGTTTATTATCTAACACAATACCTAGATATTTGTAGGTTCTCTGAATAGGTATATCTATACCACACAAATTAATTTTTCGAGGATTGTTCAATCTGTGTCTGGTAAAGAAGACAACTGCAGATTTGTCAGGGGATATTGTAAAATCGTGTTCACTAAACCAACTTTTAAGGCAATAAACAATATATTTAAGTTCTGTAATGCATTGATTGTAACTATTCTGTACGGTATAAAAACAAAAATCGTCAACGTACTGAATACAGTTGACATGGTTGCTGAAGATATTGTGCAAATCATACGTATAAATATTGAATAAAAGAGGGCTCAGGACTGCCCCTTGAGGTAATCCTTGATTGACCATTCTAGGCCCGTGTAAAGTATTATTTTGATCTTTAATAAATATTTTTCTATTTCTGAATAAATTTACCACATTGCAAGCTATTGAATTATGAATGTCTAAAGAACCTAATTTGTCGACAAGAATGTTTAAGTCAACTGCATCGTAGGCATTCTTAATATCAATGAATAGACATGCTACGTATAAGTTTTTAGAAAATGCACATTGTATGTCAGTAACTAAATGAGACACCGCCTCGATAGTCCCACAACCACGACGCGATCCGTATTGAGCTGTGGGCAGCTTCGAATTATATTCTAAATACCATTCTAACCGAGTTTTAATTAATCTTTCATATGTCTTTGTTATGCATGACATTAGCGAGAAGAAGATATTAAAGTGGGATCTTTTTTTGGTTTTAGTATTAAGGTAATAATGATTTCTTTAAGCTCATCTATTAGTTCGTCAGAATTCCACCTTTTATTAAACAAAGCTAACAGTACCTGTTTTGCATTAGAAGTTAAATTTTCAAGAATATTATATGTTATGCTATCTTTTTCCGGTGAGGTACTCCGGTGGGATTGTAAGGCAATATCTAATTCTGCTAAAGAAAAATTGTAGTTAGGAAAATTACTATTAATAGGATTTTTATATGTTAAGGGCTTTTGAATATTAGCCGCAGTAGCAGGTGCAAAGTGATGTAATAATTTGTCAATCATTTCTCCAATTAAGCTTGAATTTACACTGTTATATTTTTTGTTATTTATTTTCTTAACAAAATTCCAAATCTTAGTTAAAGGAGTGTTTTTATTAAGATTATTTAAAAATTTTGTCCAGCTATATTTGCATTTGGTTTTAAAAAGAAGTTTAGTTTGGGATTCAATGTTTTTATAATTTAGATAATTTTCCCAGTTCGATAATCTTTTATACTGTTGAAAAGCCAATCTTCTTTTTGAAACCATCTGAGAGCAATCATTGTCCCACCATATAGGTTGGGGAGTTTTTATGACAATGGGTTTGTTGATTTTCATGGAATTATTTGCTGCATTAGCAAGTATTGCTAAAAGGTCTTGGAATGTTACTTCATTATTGCTGATATCTATTAATTGATCGTCTTCTAGTTTTGAAAATATTATCCAATCTGCAGATTTGGTGCTCCATTTCGTATGAGGTAGGATATTTTGAGGTTTGTAATTAGTATTAAATTGAATATATATTGGAAAATGATCAGAGCCCATAAGGTCCTTTGTTGCATCCCATTTGAATTTGGACATAAGGTTTGGCGATGCGAGAGTGAGATCCACTGCTGATTTGTTTTCGTTAGGTCTACTATTTTTGGTTGGAGATCCATCATTTAATACAATAAGATTAGTATCATTAAGTGCTTGAACAAGCCGTTGACCATCAGTTCGATTGATTAAAGAACCCCATAGGGTGTGGTGACAATTAAAGTCGCCACAGAAAAGAGAGTTATTTGGGAATTGCAAAAATAGTTTTTTCCAATCGTCTACACAAACATTTTTATTTGGAGGTTTGTAGACAGAAATAATTGAAAGATTGATTTGTTCTAGATAGATTGCACATGTTTCAATATTTTTATTAAAATTTTGTTTTATGGTTAAAATTTTATATTTAAGATTTTTTGAGATTAAGATGGCAACACCTCCGTAACCATCATTTCTAAGTTTTTGTACAGTGTGGTATCCATTGATAATTAAATTTTCGTTTGGTTTTAGCCATAATTCACAAAGAGTTAGAATGTCAAAGCTTTCATTATTTAATAATTTTAGTAAATCAGGTTTCCGTTTATTTATAGAATTAAGGTTCCATTGTAATATTTTTAAATGTCTAGAAGGTACTTGAGTCATCATCGCTAATGCTTATTGAATCAGATGGATCAATTTCTAACAAAGATGAAATTTGTTCTTTAATTTTTTGACCTGTGTTTTCGATTAATTGTGGGTTATTCTCAGAGTTAGACGCGAAATTGGACATAATAAAATTTAATATGTTTTCTATCAATTTTTCTTTATATTGTATAAAATCATCCCTATATGGGGTTGGTAGTACTGAAGTGGATTTTTTCGTTTGAGATTTATTTTGAGTTTTTGAGGTAGTTGTTGAAGGCGTTGTAGGAGGAGTAGAAGCTTTACGTTTTTTGGAGGGAGTGGGAATATGTGTTTTTGGTTTGTGTAGCATGTATGATGGTGGGGTATATTGAGGTTGTGAATTTTGTGCGAGTGGTGGAAAATTTTGTGTGTTGTTGAATATTGCAAATCTATTATTTGTTGTAATCTTTGAATATGACGGATTATTTACTATACTCTCGGCCTCTTTAAAAGAGAGGTTGCGAAAAGCC